GTCCAAAAATTTTAAAAGCGTCCTTAACAAGATGCATTGCGACAGTACCATTTTCTTTATTTTTCATAAGAATTGCAATCAAATACTTAGAAAAAATGTATACACAGGTAAGCAACCATGCAAATTCATAATTTACTTTAGCAAACTCCTAAAAATCAATAAGATCAATTTAGATATGATACCATGGTGCTATTGAAACAACAGATTTCATATCTGTTTTTTCTTTAATCGAACTATTAATGGAACAAGTAGTACATTCATTGATATACTCCTGCACACTTTGTTGCTTAATGCCAACATGCTTTTCTGAAAGCGCAGCAAATGTCTTATAGTAACTACGATGGTTAGCTCGATCATGAAAATGATCTAACAATAAAATGCATAACTCATTATCATAAAGGGGAACTACACGACGTCTTCTATATCTGACTTCTCTATTTTTATAAATAGCTGAAAGATAAAGAACCCCGTTTTCGTCAACCTCGAATTTTTTGCACTGCCTTACAAAGTTATATTTATTCACAGGGCCAACAAAATTTGAAGGAACAATCTTGGATTGAATATAGTCTACAATTGACTAGTATTTGGCCAGTGTTTCAGGAATTTTTGGAATTGCGAGCATAACTAATTTGGTAAAGATTAAAAAAAAAATTTTTTTTATTTATATAAAATTGATTTGTTTTGATCGTAAATTAACCAATCATATTTTGAAATCAGGTGTAATGTGAAAATCAAGAAATCAAGATGATTGAATAAGTGAATGATTTAAATAAAACCTTAAGGTTAGCAGAAATATTTGGTTAAGGCATAGTGTATACCAAAATTTGATGAAAGATTTTTTTTTATCGGAATATGGAAGGTAGTTTCATAGGCAGAACTTTGAGCTACAAACAATTTTTTTTAAAAAAAATACATATTTCACAATACACCCGATCTTGAATTTAATTGGCTGTGCAGAATTTTTCGTAGTTTAATTTATTATCAATCATCATATGAGTGCAAAGAAATGAAAAAAACTAATATTTTTAATGACCTAATCAAACAACACTAAGATCAGGATTTGGGGCAACAGAGAAGGACGTTCATGGGTAAACCCATGACCATGATGCGCTTTCGTTCTTTGGTCCATATTACTCTAATAACAAATGATAAGTATGACCTTCTTTAAAAAACCAAGTTATGATAAGAAACTAACCTTGTTTTTATACTTCACGCAATTCAAGACCAATACTTCACACATTTTGTGCCAGTATCAATTTTGGTTTCCTGTTAATAGTGTAAAAAGTAAATCTCAATTCAAACAAAACTGAACTGATCACGAACCAACCAACCAACCTTTTTTTTAGTTGTTTTTTTTTCCCAGGATTTTAGTAGCAACAGAGAAGGACGTTTGTGGGTAATCCTGCGGCCATGATGCACTTCTGTTCTCTGATCCAAATTACCCTAATATTAAGCAATAAGTATGACCTTATTTAAAAACTAGATGACAAGAGACTAACCTTTTATGCTTCATAATATTTAAAGCTTATATTGTATAGTTCAGTGGTTAAGAAACCAACTTTTAAAAAATTTGTGACTGCATTTTGTATCAGTATCAATTTTGGTTCTTTGTTAGTAGTATAAAAAAAGCAAGTTTCAATTCAAATAAAGCTAAACTGATCATGAACCAATCAACCAGCCTTTTTTTTCAAGATTTTAGGCGGTACAGAGAAGGACATTCACAGGTAATCCACGGCCACGATGCGCTTCTGTTCTCTGATCCATATTACCCTAATAACAGATTATAAGTATAGTCTTATTTAAAAACTAGATTATAATAAGAGACTACTAACCTTTTTTCATACTCCACACAATTCAAGACTCATGCTATATATTTCAGTGGTTAAAACAACTGAAACATCACAATGCATTTTGTGCCAGTATTAATTTTGGTTCTCTGTTAATAGTGTAAAAAAAGTAAGCTTCAACAAAAACTAAATTGATCATGAATTAACCAACCAACCTTTTTATTTAATTTTTTTTTTTTTTTTTTTTTTTTTTTTTTTTAGGTTTGTGATGACGATAGTGAAAGATGTTAAACGAGTAAACCATGGTTATGACACACTTTTATATCTCTTTTTAAAATACTAAATTATAAAAAGTAAATTTTATATTCATAATAAGAAAGCCAAACTTACCATAAACCAATTTTTTTTTTTTTTTTTTTTTAAAAAAAAACCTCCAATTTGTTATTTTTTTTTTTTAAAAAAAAAAAAACTTTTAAGATTTTGGCTTTAGGTATCAACCTATTTCATGGATGGTATAAAAAAAAATACAAGTTTTGTGTTTAGAAAAAAAAAATCTTTTTAACCTAAACACAATCTTTTATTTAGATTCTATTATGATAGTACGGAATTTTCCTGCTATATACCTTATCTTAAAATTAATGGATTCATTGGCTAGGCTATGATTTTTTTTTTTTTTTTTTAAAAAAAAAAACTGTATATTCTGGCTTAGGTTCCCTACTATAATGACAAAAAAATGAGGTTTATTCTCTTAAAAGATAAAACAAAAAATTTTTTTTCACACTTTAGATTCACTGTTAAATAGCAGATTTGTATCATAGCATACCTACTAACACCAAAATACGACTTTCTTGTTGTAATGGTGTGAGAAAAGTTGGCATTTCAGAAAAAATTAAAGCAATAAAGGTGCCAGAAATAGAGAGAATTAGCCAAAAATTAAAGGATTTGAATGCAATTCTTATGAAAAATAAAGAAAATGGTACTGTCGCAATGCATCTTGTTAAGGACGCTTTTAAAATTTTTGGAC